GAGTGAGGTAGCAGGAGGACTAGGGAGAAGCAAGCCAAGGCTTTGGTCACCATCCGCTTTGGGAGGTGAATTCAAGGGAGTGGTTTAGATGAGAACACAGGAGCTAGTGGCTGTAGCATTCCATGCAGCCCAGGAGAGGCTGAATTTCTAAGAGAGCTCCATGTTCACCTCTGGCCCACATCCAGCATGGTGGCTGTGAGGAGGGAGTACCAGTATTATGCTCCATTAAGACTAGATGGGTCTAACTACTTCTCAGAGGGGCCATTCAGAAACCCATAGACCATGCTCAGAGAGCCACAAATCACTCACAAAATACAGTGGACAATTCCTCAGCTGCTGCCTCACAACAGAGCCAAAGGATGGCAAAGGAACTGAGTTCAAGGACTCAAGGACTCAGAAGCCCTTCTCTTTGTCATTACCAAGAAATTAAGTAAGCCCTCCTTTCCCACCCCATTCAGTACATATCACTCAGAGAGGAGTAGTGGACTGAAATAGGAAATTGGATAGACTGAGCATGTGTCTAAAAGAAAATGAGTGGTCTAGTGAGACTATTCAATCAAGTAAAAAAATGCTATGAATTAGAAAATTTAAAGCTACCACCCTCTGCCTTGACATCCAATAGTGAGAAAGATTAAATAAGTAATAGAAAAATGAGATACATTTTCTTTACACTTGTGTGTAATAATGTCAAATTGAAACATGTCTGCACCATAAAGGAAAGAATTGTGTATTTTTTAGTAGTTCTCCTCTTCCATAAAGGATCTTATGCAGTTTCAATCTGTATATCAGAAAACAAACACTTAAGGAAAGAGAAAAGTTTTAGTTATTTGACATGAAGAAGAGAGCACTGAAGACATGCCTAATGCATTAGTTTCAACTGGAAGGTCAGTGTGGGAGGTGTGGCAACTTGTATCTTCTCTGTTCAAGGAATACCAATGCAGAAGAAAACAGAGAAGTGAAAACTGTCTTATTTATGCCTTTATCCTTTATGCATTTCTTATACTTCCTGGAGTATAGTGTATGATCAGGTAATATTTATTGGATGAATAAATGAAATCATAAATAAACTGCATAATGTCAGAATGGATAGCCTAAGATATTTTTAGAGCTGTTTTTCATAGTACTGTGGGTGAGATGGCAAATCAGGGGACTCTGCTGTGGAAGGGGTAGGACCCTTTGTTTCTCCATCCATCCTGAAAGACCTAGAGTGCATTTCTACTTTGCTTCCCATGGGTTTTGAGGTTGGAGTGTGTGTGTGTGTGTGTGTGTGTGTGTGTGTGTGAGAGAGAGAGAGAGAGAGAGAGAGAGAGAGAGAGAGAGAGAGACTGTTTCCAGGGTAGGGATGCTTGCTGCATCCTCAGATGAATCAGTACAATCTTTGCTGGGAGCCTTATGGAGAGGTGTCCCAAGAGTTGAGACTCTGGTCCCAGGGAAGAACATGTTGGTCTGGGAGAAGAGAAATATCCCCAAGACCTAGTTTCCAGGAGACAGGCCTATCCCTGTGGGCTGAAGAAGAGGATGATTGACGTTTAGTCTAGAACTAGACTATATGCTTAAGTGTGTACACTCACTGAGTGGGCTAAATGAAGTGGGAATCATTAAGCCACCTTTAAACTTGTGTTCCATTAACAACTTACTGTGTATGATGAATTAAGGATTTAAAAGATAAGCTCAGCAATGTCTCATGGGTAGTATGATCAAACTACATTATTAGAAAGAGTTAAGATATCTATTCATTAAATGTAAAATTTTAAAATGTATAATAATTAGCAGAATCTTTATTGGGCCTTTTTAAACTTTTATTTTAATGCTAGAAATCTCAAAATCTGAAAGCCACCAAGGTTCCATCTGAGATTTTCTGGTACAAATATTTAGAAACATAAACCATACTGAGCTACTCCCTAAATGCAATGATTTCTGTCAACTCTGTATTTTACACATTGTTCCCTGGGCCAGAGGCATGGGTCTCCCATATATGCCCCATCCTTATGAGCAACAGTTTACATCTTTCCTCAAGATACACCCCAGGTGTCACGCCTTCCCAGAAGCCTCCTGAATCCCCAGTCTTGCTTTGGTGGCTCTGAGAGTTCACTGTGCCTGCTATATTCTTTACTGCTCATCTTTCTTCCTTAATAGAATGTAAATTCCTTTAGAGCAGACACCACCCACCTCTTCTTATCCCAGGGTTGGCACAGTTTGTCACATGGCAGATGCCCAGGCCCTTACATTAATATTCTGGGAGGTTCAAATTCCTAGTTCTGTCCCTCCCCAGAGTGGTAGGATCATTTTTTTAGGGGGTAAGTACAGTTCTAAGTCCACACATGTAAGTCTCACAGGCTCAGCAGAAATCAAGCCACCTGAGGACAGACCTAGCACACCAGGACTCCAACATCAGAGAGTCAGAGTTGGAACTAAGTCAGATAGAAAATTGTCATGGAGCAAGAATATGAACATGCTGGCACTGTGGAAGGAGATGATAAGTGAAGGGTTTCATCACAGGCCAAATACGGCTGAACATGGGTCACATGGGGCTGATGCAGGACCCTTCTGATCACAGGGCTGTTTGGAGTCATGGGCCTCTGCTGGCATAGAGCTGTTTGTTTGCAAAATACCCAGAGGCTGGACCTGCATTGGCCTTGTGCACTCTTCCGTGCATTCTTTCTGAAAATAAAATCTTTCATCATTCCCATTAGGGTGACAGGCCTTTTGCAATAGAGTCAATTAAAGAAAAATTGTCAAGAAACAAAATGCCACAAGAGTAAGATTGATTCTTCAGAAGATTGGGAACTGAGATGGGTGCAGTAGCACACCCTGTAATTTCAGCCAACGGATAAGGCAGGAGGACTGCAAATTTGAGGCCAGCCTCAGCAATTTAGACCCTCCCTAAAAAAAAAAAAAAAAAAAAAAAAGAAAAGAAAAGAAAAAAGAAAAAGAAAGAAAAAAAGAAAGGTGAGAAGGTTAAAGAGAATACTTTTAGACTCAGAAGACATTAATACTCTACTTTTAGAGATTCTGCAAGACTGTTGTGAACGTCTTTCAAATGATGACCACTTTCAGGTCCAGGACAGTCTACATATCTTAGATAGCATTACTTGGCACTGTCAGTGACCAATGTTATCAGCCAACAGAATCTGCACTGGAAACAGACATGTTAATTAGTCTAATTAGTTCACTGGGGTAATTAATTACTTAACACTTACCTAATTATCTAACGTTTTCACCTGTCAGAGGCAGAGGCAAAATGCCAAATTGGAATTTGGTGGTCTTCCTCATTGCCCTAAAAATAAATGCAAAGATGTAGCCTGGAATACAAATGAAAGTGTACAGGTCCCAGTGGTAGTCAGTGGGCACAAGACTCAAAATTGCCAGCGATTGTTGGGAAAGAGCAGCAAGTAGACCAGCTCGAGGTGATCCTAAAGTAAGAGACAGGTATTATTATAAATGACAAACAGGAATAACTGTCCAGGCTACAAAGGCAAGACACATGTTCAGGCTTCATTTCCGTTGTATTTGTCATTTCCTTTTCCAAGATAGGTTTCCTTAGGGACTTTTGGATATCCAGGGCAAAATTAAAAATGTCTATTTGGTAATGGCAGTGGCAAGATTTAGGCTACATTCATTATTCCCCAACATAGACTTCTCTATTCTCTTTCCTTCCCATTCTGAAAACTTTGTTGGCTAGCCAAGATGGACTGAAATAGGCCACCATAGAACTGGAGGAGTTTGCCAAGAAGGATTGTTATCAGGAAGTGGAGCAACATATAACTGGAGATCCCAGTTGGGGTACAAGCATTCGGCTCTGGGCTGCTATGGGCATTCTTCAAGAGAAATGCCTCATACCTACTGCTATTTGGCATTTATAAACATTTTAGGTTTTGATTTGTTTGAAAGCCAAGAGACCAGTGTTGTTTGTTTTTTTTTTTAAGAGAGAGAGAGAGAGAGAATTTTTAAATATTTCTTTATTTATTTTTAGTTTTCGGCGGACACAACATCTTTGTATGTGGTGCTGAGGATCGAACCTGGGCCGCTCGCATGCCAGGCGAATGCGCTACCGCTTGAGCCACATCCCCAGCCCGAGACCAGTGTTCTTGAAGCTCTCACCAGCATAGAACTTGAGCTGACAGCCATGGGAGCCAAGAGAAAAAAACATCAGGATGGAGTTCTTCTACAGCCTTCCAGACTCCCTCATCCCAAGGAAAAGTGAGAAGCATCAACAGAGGTAGTGAATTCATAGATTTCTTAACAGAGACTCTCTTTTCTGAAAATATTAGGCTATAATTTATTTGCCTGGATTGTCAGAGAGATGGTTTAGTGGATTTTAGAGACAACCTAGGATTTAACTAAGTGAGGAGGAACTGAGAAGCAAGTTTTGTTTGATTATCAGAACTTCTGTGTGAACTTGAATGGGCAAAGTTCAGATAAAGGGAGATTCTGAGGTCCCGACCTTGAATGTTTTCCTTGTGATCACAAAGAATGAAAACACATTGGAAAGGGGTGGGATGGGGGTGGGAAAATGAAATGCTTGAGAACTGAAAGTTCTCACGTGTACTGGACACATTTTTAAGATAATGTGGTGGGATTTTCATGAAAACTGAAAGACGACTTGTATCTATATACAGTTATCTCAAAGTAAATAAGTCTGTGTACTATCCCAGACCCATGTAGAGACCAAGGTCAGATGTAATGGAAAGGTGCTCTGGTCAATAGTTAACAAACTAACCAAAAAGATAGGATGCTAAACCTTCGAAGGGAGCCTATCTTCTTGGGGAAGTGATATTCTAAGAACTGGACTATAGTATAAAAGGCTGTGTTAGGGAGATTATTTTTTAATTAGTAAGAGAGTAAAATTCTAAGGGAAGAACTCATCAACAATTTCAGAAGAAACATAAGTTTTAAGGAACGACATTATTCTTACTTGGAGCTGAATAATTATCATTAGACCTATAATTTAAAAGCAAATCACACTCTTTCTCTTTCCTGATATCCATATAATACAAAGTATGGCTTCTATTTTACCTGCTTCCAATAGATCCATGAGACCTGACAGGAATACATATAATGGGTAAGTAATTTTTATTTTCTACTTATTTTGATCAGAGGGATGTTCCTTGCATTTTATATTAAATGCTCAGATGATGAATTATACAAATTATAATTATACAATTATGAATATATAATTATGTAAATTATATAAATATATAATTATATTCATTTCTTAAGTTTAGGCAATATATAGTTGGAATACAGTTCATAATACAAATCTAAATAAAAACAATGTAAATGTTCCTCACAGTGACATTTTCATTCCTTGGTTCTTGGTTGTGAGGAGGGAGCATTGGTTCATTAAGAAGTGGGGTGACAGTGAGAAATGCTAGGAGGAGGATGCAAAACAACAGAATTCGAAAAGTTGACTTGGAAAATTTAGGTCTAGATGGACAGAGAAATGCAGGTCATAAATGAAAAATATAAGTACATGCTGTCATAGGCAGTCACTGCGCTCAAAAACTTTCCCATGGGGCACCTTGGTTTTGAAACCAGGCAGTGGCTTTGACTTGGGGATACTACAGTTATGTTTCTAAGATTCACGAAGACACTTAAAGGAGGCATTTTGGAGGGAGAGCAAGAACTGCTAATCAAATTAAACTTTTGCAATAACTGTCTCACTCCTACTCCATAGACAGATTCTATAACCTCAGCCATCACAGTGGTAGGAAGAGTAGATGCTTCCTCCTGTTGCCAAGATCTGGGGTGTCCATATATGCCCACGCATGATTCATGGACTGATGATGCTTTGATTGAATCTGGGGTGTTTTACCACTGAGCTACATCCCCAACCCTTTCTATTTTTTGAGGCAGGTTGCTTGGGGCTTCTCACTTGTGATCCTCCTTTCTCAGCCATCTGACTTGCTAGGATTATAGGCTTATGGCACAGGGCCCAGCTCATGTATGAATATTAGAAGGGAATTCTAAATCATCGTGTCTTCTCTTTTACCTGACATTTTCATTCTAATGTTTTTCTTACCCGTGCAAAAGCCATATCCTTATGAATATCAGAATAAACTAGGTATACATAAAAAAAAGAGAGAGAAGGGCGGGGGGGGGTAGAAAAAGAAAGAGAAAGTGGGGAGAAAGAAGTTACAGAAAATATTCAGGAGTGAACGAATTCTAAGTTCTGCCTAGTATTCACTACAGAGTTCAGCCTTTAATTCCAGGACCATGGGCTGGATCTGAGAAATAATTAAAGGGGCCTCCCTGTGCCTAAGGGTGACTTAACTGTGTGGCAGCACATTATGAAGTGATTTCATGTGCTTTGTGATGGACTTTACATAGAATTCACCTCTAAAATACCATGGATGTTATTCATCTCAAGGGTAGACATAAATCTGCCAAAGCTGCCTGCAAATTTAGCTCCAATTTCTGCCCCAGGTTAACAGAACATAATAGAGCATTAATCTTCATGAGGCTTAAGGAATTTTTGCAAGTTCCCTCTGATTTGCTGAGAGTTGTGTGCAATGTTTTGCCATCATGTCCACATTTCAGAAAACAATCTACTTACTTAGCCCCAACAGCTCCTCCTGCCATCTTTATTTCCTCAGGGAAGCCACGGAGAGAGAGAAAAGGAAAAATTAGGAAGATGAAGGTAACAGAAAATGGAAAATTTCTTCCCAGCTAGCAGTTTTCTTTGGTGAACAATATTTAATACTGACCATGCTGTGTACTTGCCATGGTTTGCTAGTTTCATGTAACAACAACAACCAAAAATAAGAAAAGAAAGGAAAAAAAATCGAAGAGGAAATAGTACATGTAAGTGTACTTAGTGACAATTATATACTCTAAAGTACTGCAAAAGCCAGATTCATACTGGGTTGAATTTGACATGAAATCCCAAACAACTCTTTCTTTTAAAAATGTTTTAAAATTTATTTTTAATTAACAAACAAAAAATAATTATATAAAGTTATGGAGTACAATGTGAAGTTTAAAAAGTTTTTGTTTTGTATTTGTAGATGGACAAACTGCCTTTATTTTATTTATGTTTTATGTGGTGCTGAGGATAGAATCCAGTGCCTACACATGCTAGGCAAGCACACCACTGAGCCACAACCCCAGCCCCATAAAGTTTTTTTTTGTTGTTGTTGTTGTTGTTTTATTGGTTGTTCAAAATATTATAAGCTCTTGACATATCATATTTCATACATTTGATTCAAGTGGGCCCCATAAAATTTTGATCTATATATTGTAGAAAAACTCAAGCTAGTTAACATATTCATCACCTCACCAACTTTGCAGTGAGAATGCTAAAAATCTATTTTAAAAGCAATTTTAATAGATACATTATTATGAGCTCTGACTACCATGCAGTAGATTACTAAAACTTATTACACCATTCTGAAACTTTGTTCCCATGGATCAATATTTTTCCTTTTATCATCCTTCTCCCTACCCTCCAGTCTCTGGTAACCATCGTTTTCCTCTCTGTTTCTATGAGTTAAAAAATTTTAGATTCCACATGTAAGAGAGAGCAGATAGCATTTGTTTTCCTGTGTCTGTCCTCCGTTTCCATTCATGTTGTCACTAATGACAGAATTCCCTTCTTCTTAAAGGCTGACTAGTCTTTGTGGGTACGTGTGTACATACTATATTTTCTTTATCCATGCATCCACCAAAGAACACTTAGGAAGATTCTCTAATTTGGTGGTTGTGAATAATGCTGAAATAAATATGAGAGCACAGATATATCTTTGATATATTAAATTCATTTCCTTTAGACATACACTCAGTAGTGTGATTGCTGGATCAAATGGTAGTTCTATTTTTATTTTTTTGAGGCACCCCTCCCATACTGTTTTCCACAATGACTATACTAATTTACATTCCCACCAACAGTGTGTAAGGGTACCCTTTCCTCTACATCCTTTCCAACCCTGTTATCTTTGCTCTTTTGGAAGATAGCCAGAATTCTAATAGGTGTGAAGCAATATATTGTTGTGACTTGACTTTGTATTTCCCTGATGATTAGTGGTTTGTTAACCATTTTTAAATGTACCTATTGGCCATTTGTATCTCTTTGGTAAATGTCTCCTGATGTCCAGTTTTATTGGGGGTCCCAGAAAAGTTTCCAGAGTCTCATCCAGGGTCCACCTCTTGACTTTTAACTGATAGTACTGAAACTATGTGGATCACCTCCAAGAGAGGATGGTTTGGTGCTCAGAGTTAGGAATTTTTAGGAAATTGAGTCCCCTTAGTTTTGCCTCAATATTCTGCTCCCTTAACTTGTTTGAGTAGCTCTCAGCAAGCTTTCTTGTGAGGGTCTTGATGTTTTAGTGGCCAGGATGATTGGAGATTGTTCAGGCTACCTATAAGGTGTGACATCATCTTGAAACAGTAGTTTTTCTCTGGAGGATGTGATTATGGCTGGGGAGCCTTAAACAAAGCAAACCTCCATCTTCTAGGTGATTTCTGTTAGATAGGCTCCCTGTGGTTTTCAGTCCTCCACTCACCTTTCCCTGCTCAACCATTCAAGGCTGACTGGCTACCTAACAAAATCATAAGTGTTTCTAAACACTAAAGATCTATATGAAAAAATAGAGAAAATTATCCTATTTATGATTCTATCAAAACAAATAAAATAATTAGGAATAAATTTAACCAAGGATGTGAAAGATCTGTACACTGAAAACAATATCAAAGAAAGAACTTGAAGAAGACACAAATACATGGAAGATATTCCATGTTTGTGGTTTGGAAGAATTAATATTGTTGAAATATCCATACTACCCAAAGTGATCTACAGATTCAGTGTGATTCCTATCAAAATTTCAATGTCATTTTTCACTGAAATATAACCAACCATCCTAAAATTCACCTGTAATCAGAAGACACCAAATAGTCAACAAGTCTTTCTTTGGTTGCTGATAGAGTGATTGATCATCTTAGAAGTGTTTTTCCATGAGCAAATGGAACAATAACAAAAAAATCTTCCATAGGACTCCCCCACCCTTGCCTCACCTACCACCAAATTTTTTTATTGAGGAGTTATTACTGTTAGGAAGAACTTGACATAAGCAACACCATTTTGAAACATATTCTCCATCTTGGAACAAGTGTTCTCTGACTCAGCCTGACCAAAACCCCAAACAATATCATAAGAAAGGAAATTGTTATCTGGGGACTGAAATTCTGAAAAATACCTGGTTCCTTATGAAGGTGACACCACAAGGACCCTTCCCTAACAACCCCCTAGTAATGCAAAAAACTCTCCCCTCCCTCTTTGCCCTCTATCTACTCCAGGCTTTAAGTGAAGGAGGGGTCTCAGTCTCCACTGGGCCCCCCTCCATGGGTTTGTCCCAAATAAACCTGTGTTACTGTTGAGCTGCCTTCCCTTTCTATTTCCTTCATTTGGTTCTTTACTTACAATTAGATGTTCGGACCAATCATCAAAGAAATTAAAAGAATATCTAAATAAATGAACAAGAGCATTATACTTAGTATAAGAGAATATCATTAATATCATTAATAACTGTGCTGGTTTGAGAATTTCTTCTTGAAGAAGGAAATATGGAGTAGGTCATGTATCTTTTAAAACACAAAAGCCCAGTTGTCTTTGATCAACTGAGTCAAAAATCCTAGAGATGGTGTTCAGATGTCAGTATTCCTTGAAGTTGCCCCGGTAATTCTGATAAGTAGCTAGAATTTAGAAGCACTAGGGTAGATGAATAAGAGTAATGATTTGTAGATTCATCTGGGAATCCAAAAGAAAATCTCTAGATCATGAAAATAGTTTTGGCGGAGTGAAATAGAAAGTGTAGTGGAATTTGGAAGAGAAAGTGGATGGCAGAGTTTCTCAAGTTTTAATGTGCATGTGAATAACTAGAGTTTGTTAAAATGCAGATTTTGATTGAGTAGGTCTAGGGTGGAATCTGAGCTTTTACTTTTCTCACAAGCTCCTAGGCCATGATGCCCCTGCTGCTTTGTAGAACACACTTAGCATGAGGAGGGACTGCGTAAATGTTCTCTTGCCTCTCGAAAGACAAGAAAAGAGGTGTCCTGCTTTGAGATTACAGGCTTGTCCTGAAGTAGTATAGCAATATCTTGGAATACTTCATTTTTCAAACAAGGAATGACCCACTAACTACTTAGGAATCTGTTACTTCTAACTTTTTGAGGAGAAAATTAATAATATTTTGTTTCACTTCCTGAACAGTTAAACTCAAATTAATAAATAGGATTTGTTAAGACTTGGGGTTAAAGAAAGACATATAAGACCACTTGTATCAAGGAATTTACAATATTTCTGGGAAGATAAAAAATTAACTATTACAACATGAAATGTTATCTAACAGCATTAGAATAAGCAAAAGCCTTAGTAGCACAGCAAGGGAATAAAATACTGTTGATTGGGGAGGGAAGATACTTGGAAAAGCCTTCATGAAAGAAATGATATTTCAATTGGAGCTTGAAGAATGATTAGTATTTTTTTAAATATTTATTTTTTAGTTGTAGTGGACACAATACCTTTATTTCAGTTATTTATTTTTATGTGGTGCTGAGGATGGAACCCAGGGTCTTGCACATACAAGGTGAGTGCTCTACCGCTGAGCCACAACCCCAGCCCCTGATTAATATTTTGATAAGTGAAAAATGGAAGGGAAGGGAATAGGATGTTTCAGGAAGCAAGACTTACAGGACGAGTCTACATCCCATCATCTGGCAAGACTTAAAAATACTTTCAGATCATCTAAATTAATTTCACCTTGTGAGCAGTGATTTTTAAAAAATCTCATTGGTGCTTTTAATGTACAATCAGGGTAAGAGTCACTGGAGATGTGCAAAGTTGTGAGATTTGTTAAGGTATTTTAAAATATTTGGAGAGAAATGGGAGGGAAAACCAGAGAAGTCTCAGTTAATTCTTGGCAAAAATGTCTTGATATGAGGTAGATAATTTATCACGAATAATTAGAGTGGTATGTAATTATTACCCAAATAACCAAGAGTGTGCTTTTGTAAGTATGAATTAGATTGAATTAAGGTTCTTCCCATAGCAGCAGCTACTGTCTGGCATTCTGTGGATTTTACCAAACAAGAGAGGAAGAATTAGTGTGATAGGGGAAGGCCTTTTGTGTTGGGGACCTCGCCTAAGGATGGCCTTGGTTGGAAAGGAGTGGATGTCCTCAGCATGGTCAGTGAGGTCCTCAGTGACAGTGATATTCAGGGTGTGTCCTTCAGACCAGGAACACAAGTGCCAATAAGGTGCTTGTTAGAAATGACGCATACATCCCAAATGTACTGCCATGAATTTCTGAAAGAGGCGATTTTTAGGCATGCTAAATTGTAAGAAGTACTGGTGTACGGAGCTGAAACAGGCTACAAGATTCATAGCTTACATACCTAAATATACTCAGACCCAGACATACACAAACTCCATGGAGAGTTGAGAAGGAGGCAAAGAAGGGTGCAGAGGTTGGAGACATAGCAGTAAGGATCAACCCTCATCAGGGAAGATAGAAAAGTGGCTGTGGGAGCATAGGTTGCTGGCCTATGTGGAATGGGGTAATAATCATGCACAGGGAAAGAGCAGGGGACTGGCAGCGACAGCTGGCTAGGAAGGATGGTGTAGGCAAGGCTGAGGCTGGGGTGTCACACTAGGAGTAGTGGGAGTGAATAAGTAGCCACTGAGCCACGCCCAGTGGTGGAATGATTGGTGGACACCAAGCCCTCCAGTAACGGTCCTTCCTGCAATGGTCCTTCTTTTATGGCAAGCTTGCCTTCCCAATGGCTCTTTTGGACCCTCTCCCATACTCTTTTTTTTGGGGGAAATGCTGCTGAATTTCTACATTGAAATGTTCTTCTTGTCTTACCTTTTGTTTTAAAGTTTCATTTACCTTCTTACAATAGTTTTATATCCTTTTGGATTCAGGGGTTTAAAACTCAGTATTTCACTTTTTCACTCCTATTTCTTCAAGCACTTTAACCACACTTCTTCTCCTTCATGCTTATCCTGAACATTCCTTTCTCAGTCAGCTCTAAGTCCTATTTTCCAGAGTTATATGCCTAGGCATTCTTTCTTTTACATCCGTGTTCAGTCTCTCCAGGAGCCTATTCATCTCTGCTTCCACCCATCATCCTACTACATTTATTTCTCTCTTAAATTGTCTAATGGGCAAAATACATTGACCCAAATTAATAACCTCTCATGGGTCAGGCAGCTTAATGCTGCTTGGAGATCAGTAGCTTCTTTCTTAATCCAGAACAAGTTGATGGAGTAGCAACTGGGGATGTAGCTCAGTGGTAGGGACCTTGCCCGGCATGCCCAAAACCCTGGGTTCAATCACCCAGCACCAATGAATAAATAAAATTAAAATGAAACAGGTTAATGGGGTAAAGAGGGGTATCTATTCCACATGGCCATTGAGAGACCCATGATTTCCACCCGAGCCTGGCCTGGAATAGGGAAGTCACGTCCACACACATTTCCTAGGTCAGAACAGTCTGGTGACTTATCTTACTGAGAAGGAAACTGAGAATATAATCTAATTTTCTTCTGTTTCCAGAAGAAAAAAAACTGGGGTTTGACAAATGCATAGCATTCTTTGCTACACTTTTTCTGATAGTTCTCACTAAAGCTGCTACCTTTTAAGTTCTCAAGGTGAGAGGTTTAACACTGAGAAGTATGTTCATGCCTATCAGCTGTGTTGCATATATTTAATTCAGGGCTCACATTAAGCTTACAAAGCAGTAATTTTCACTACCCATTTCATGGATGAGGTAATGAAAGGACAAAGATAACTTACCCAAGTTTACACAATTAGTATGTTCAAGGTTGAGCTGGTACTGGGACCCAGGCAATCTGATTCCAGAGCCCAGTAGCTTATGTGACATAATCCCCCAGAGAGAAAGAAGACCTAGAGGGTCAAAGTGAATGGAGCAGAGATGATTGTTTTATAATCCACTGGGTGTGTCAACTTCCACAATTATCTCATCATCTGTAAGTCTTGGCTTCTTCATTTGTAAATCTAATTACTAATTCACTTACCTACAGAGTAGTTATAGGATTAAATGAGTTACCTCATCTGTTATAGGCAGTCTTCATGCCATTGTACAATTTTAACACTTAGTTCTATGCCTGGCACATAGTAAGTGTAAGGCAAATATTAGCCATTGTTATTACTACTATTATACCACATTTTATTATAAAAGAAAGTCTGGGTCCAGCATTTGGGCTAGCGGCAATCTTAGATATAGTCTGAGATCCTTCTTTCTTTGTGTGCTTTTTCTCACCAATTTGTTTTACATCCTCTTTGTATATATGTGCTTTTTTTTCTTACAGAAAAAGGTTTAAGAATCCTTAAACCTTTAAGAATTCTTACCTGGATTCTACGGATGAAGGCATTCTCTATCATGTTAAGAATCCTTACCTGGATTCTATGGATGAAGACATTCTCTATCACCTGGATTTAGGAACAAAAACACACAATCTACCAGCAATGTGTGGGGATGTAAAGGTAAACATATTTCTAATTCCAGAAAAAAAATGATTGAGTTTCCTCTGCTAATTTTTGTTGCTTTACCAAAATAAACTTTATCCCCTTGGCTAGAGAAATGTCAGAGGTCCCAATAGGAACCAAATCTGCACTGATTCTCTAAAACAGTTCAGAATGTGAACATCATGAATAATAATTTCCACCCCAATAAGGCATAAAGATTTTCAAACCCAATTTAATGAAAACATGACTATTTGGCTGCTCTGGTCTCTGGAGATAAATAAAATTTTATTGATAATACTGTTGGGTGTTTAGAATTCATTATGTTTTAAAGGAGTCAGTTCACTTCTTAATGTCTACATTTATTGGTGAACCTCACTAATTCTTATTTTATTAAATTGAAAAGGAACTCACAAAAACTAACAGTACTGTATTACTCCACTTCATGAAAATAATCATTACTCAATATTTTATATTAAGATTTTTATTATTTCATAATAAAATTTTTCATATACTACCGCCAGAAAAAATTATATTTCTGAAGTATTTATTTTACCTTATGTATATTTTAATTATAAAGCAATTCATGTTTATTATTTTAAATTAGAAAGTGTAAAAAAATTATTTTAAAAAAATTTTCATAGTCTTACTACCTCAACACAGAAACTATCAACCCATTTTCTTTTCTTACAATGCTTTTTAATGAGTATACTTTAAAATAGTTGTAATGACATAACCTTGCATCCTACAATTTTCATTTAATTTTGTCATTAATGTTTTCCTTTATTACATTTTCTTTGAAACATGTTGTTCATGGAGGTGAAGTGGCCGTGCCACAAACTACATAACTTATTACCAACTTCTATGTTATTTTCCATTATAAAAAGAATCCAAATGGATATTTTTGTTTCTAAGAATTTTTCACACTTAAGATTGTTTAGAATGAGTTACAGAAATGGTCAAAGGGAATCAACTTTTAAAGAACATTTAACGGTCCACCAGCGGAGAATTTTGTAGCTGTCATCTGATTTGTTTTCCACTCTTTTAGAAGTTAGAGCAATAAAAATAAGAGTTTTCACATCCTCTGTCTCACTAAATCTTCACATTAGCTCTTTGAGACAGGGTTTGCAGTTACTAACTAGCTTTATAGAACAAAGTAATTGAGTGCAGAGGGTTCAGAGGAGGTTAAAGTTATAATATGGACCAGCTTCTTCTAGGTCTTGCTTTCGGGGTTCTTGCTCATCACCAGGAGGACTTCTTAAGTTACAGGAAGTCAGAGAAGTCCATTCACTGGATCTGGAGGAAGGAGAGTAAGAAGAGGAGGAGGTTAGGTAGCAGAAGAAACAGAGGAGGAGGAGGTGGGAAGGAAAACTGTGAAGGAAGGAAAAAATAAAAGAAGGGAAGGCCCAGAATTACTATGCTTGTTATCAGTAGGTGCTAAGTAGCTTCTTCCCTTCATTTCTGCTAGGGAGCAAGATGTGAGCTTGTGGGTTGATTTATTGGTAGGGACTTGACCCGCCCTTTTCTCCATTCCCCTCTAGACTGCTGTTCCTAGCCTTTGCATTGCCTCTGTTCATCTTCTGCTTCATCTTTTCAATGTACCCTCTTTCCCTATGGTTGTTTCTGATGTTCATGCTTTAAGAGTCACTGATGGAGGCTGCCCTTGGTTCTCCATAGCTGGATTTCACCTGAATTTAAATGTTAGATTTAAGGTCTGTGCTTCACAATTGTTGTCCCAGGTGCTTATCGAGGGATGACTGCTGAATAGAAAGCTCATCATAATTAATAAACTAAGGCACACCTCTATTTAGCAAATTCAAGAGACTTAGGGTATGTTTTTGAGACAGAATGATCTATATGTACACGCACAGGTTCCATCTCTCCTCTATCGCTTATGGAGTGAACTTCTGTGTCTCCAACTCTGCACAGATATACAAATGGTATGCCATCCAATGCTCACAGCAACCTAGGTAATTATAGTTTCCATCTTACAGATGAGGAAACTGGGGCCCAAGCATCTTTGTAGTGTTATTCCTAATTATATTGATCTGTCTGTAATAGGCACAGCACAGCTGGTGAGTGAAAGAGCTGGATTAAATCCTAGGTTTCTCTCATAAAAAAGGAATTGTTCTTCCCAAACTTTTTAAAGCACTATTCTGTTAGTTTCTAGAAAATCAGTGGGAGATTAAATAACAGTCTTATTTTAGACATGAAAATAAGGAAACTACCACACTCATTCACATGCATGTGCTCAGATAGGCAAATGAAGTCTCATCTCTGTCACAATCCCAGGCATCAGGCCTTCCCTTCTCCAGCTCAGTAGCTGACTGGGTTCTCATCAGTACCTATTCTCACACTGTCAGAACTACCATCCAACCTTTCATCTCCCCATCCACCTGATTGAGGAACCTTCTATAGATGCTCTTTTGGTTAAAATACATGCTCTTTTCAGAATCTGGTTTGTCCCTAGTGAGGGCAACTCTACCCATTGGGCCATTTTAACGGATAGGAGGCGTGCATGTGCGTGTGCGTGTGTGTGTGTGTGTGTGTGTATGCATGTGTGTTTGGGGGAGATTGAGAAGCAGGAAACAGTTCTAATGATCAAAACTTGCTATTTAACTGAAACCGGAATTTTGAGAAGCAGCAGGTGAAGTCTGATTTATTTCCACAGATGCTTTTCTCAGGAACTTGCCTTCTACCAGCTACATTCTTATCTTTAAATGAGGACATTCTGAGTTCAATTTCTTGACTCTCTTAGGTCCCAGGGAAGCAATCTTGGCTGAGAATAATCCATCAGTACCTGGAAACTCAGCTTTGTCCTCACAAAGATGATAATCATTATTAATAACATTGTCTTTAAAGGAAAACAGAACTCTAGGTGTGTAAAGTTTAAACAGAAATATAAATAAATAAATAAATATATATATATATATATATATATATATATATGTATAGAGAGAGAGAGAGAGAGAGATAATATACAGATATATAGATTTTTTTTTTGATACAAGGGATTGAGCACTCAACCACTGAGCCACATCCCCAGACCTATTTTGCATTTTATTTAGAGACAGGGTCTCTCTGAGTTACTTAGTACCTTGCTTTTGCTGAGGCTGTCTTTGAACTTGAGATTCTCCTGTCTCAGTCTCCTGAACCACTGGGATTATAGGTATGCACCACCACACCCCACTTTCTTTTCTTTTTTTTCTGAAGGTTTGCCAGTCTGATACTCCACAATCTCACCTGGCACAATTAAGCTTACTTCTCACCCACATTATAGTGCTCCTAGCTGTTGGATGGCCTTCCTCAAACTAGTGATTCTGGGACCCAGGCTCCTCCCCCCATCTGTTGCTCTGTCATTTTCAAGGGGTGGCTTGCAGCTTCCCTGGGTGTCAACTCCCATCAGGCAGATGACAGGAGGTGATGTGTAGCATCACCTGTAGGATTTCTATGGGCTGGAGCTGGAAGTGACACTTATCACTTCTATTCATATCCTAGTGCCTGGAACTCAGGCAGCTTCTAATTGGAAAAGAGGCTAAAAAGTTAAAATCCAATGTGTGTCCAGGACGGAAGGAAAACAGTTTTGGTGATAGCTTTTTTAGTTTCTACCATACTCACTGGAAATAATCAAACAATTGAAAATGTGATGTGAGGAACTTAAAAATTATTTTTCAAACTCAACATCCAAATATATATTTTATAATGTCTTTGCAAATGTCTTTTATAAAACCACTAATTGGCACCCTTCACTGTAGCCCTAGAAATTTCAAGTAATGTGGGAAATCTTTATTTTATAAGACTGAAATATGCATTTTCAAGGGGTTTTATAGCCCTTTGTTAACATACAGAATATATAAACTACATTTATGTACTAGATTAATAAAACATGGCAAAATTAAGATACTGGGGATATTTGAAAGTGGGTTTGTCCTGGCAGTTATTAGGCAAAGTACCTGACATACTTTTGCAATGCCTCTGATTTGCAATGCATTTCTATCTTCTTTGATAAAACCAGGACAAAATCATTTTGTTTATAACATAAATCACTGGAGGTCAATGTTGGTGGTCTTCAGCCACATTTTACTTCTCATTAAAGCAGACAGTCTGAAAATTGTGTCTAGAAGTAATGTTTAGTAAGTCTGATTTAGGAGTAAGGCTTCAAGAGCTAAGCTGCTTCTGTCTATGCGTATCATCTTTATGTCTCCAGAAATATTCAGAAATCCCTGTTGATTACAGCAGTATCTACAGTTCAAAGAAGAGCTCAAACCACAAGCTATTCTAACATCTGTTTCAGTTTTATGGTCAATCTGAATAACTGTAATTTACATTCACAGGCACCACACAATGAAGTTATTTTCAAACTACTGTATCTTCTTCTTCTTTTTAAAAAAATTTTAATGAGTCTTCTTATACTTAGATCTTGAGCCAAATCTTAACTACCCATACCAACAGAGGACAAAATCCATGAATAATCAATAATAATTGAAAAAAAAACTTAAACACTGGTTTTTATCCTCATGCTACATGGTCCTAGTGGCTGACTTCCATTGAAGTTCATTACTAGCTAAAGGCCCCATCTGAAAAACTACTGAGAAGCCACAGAAAAGACAGTAAGTATAGATAAGAAACAGAGGGCTTTAATAAAAGGATAATTACATCCTGTAATTGAAAATGAGTGTATGTGGCCCAGGAATTATTGCTAAATGCAAACAGAATACATCATGTAATCAGACCACCCAATAGTTATAGACAATTGTTTCTACAGGCGGTGCCCACTGCATAACCTCAGTTAGGTATTTCATTAGACAGATCTTCTTTATCCCTGGAATGGATCTCCCCAGCCCTTCTTTAGTTCCTCTGCCCAATGCTGCCCGCATCAGTCAGACATTACCAACTGCTTTTTCTTTACTAGAGAACTTGAAACTGCTTCATTTGTACTAAACTCTGCAATACAGAAACAATGAACAAGCTCAAAAGGAGGTCTAGGAAATTATTATATGATAAAAAAAATGATAGTGAGCATTTGTGGAACACTGAGAAAGTGCCTGGATTTGTGCAGTGTCCTTTGCCATATGCAATGCCATTTTATCCTGACAGGCCTTGTGAGAGGTACTGTCTTTCCTATTTTGATGATGGTCTAAAGCACAGAGAGAATACATACGTGACATTGTCCAAGTTATTTAATCAGTGATGGGCTGTGGTTCAAAACCAGGTTTACCTAACCTTGAAGATCAAGGCTTTGACCACCATTTTGCTTTCCTTGTGTTCAAGTTTCTCAACACTGCATCACTGAGAGTTCCTGGGTGACCGTGTGCCTGATGCCCTCTATGGGCTCTCTGCTTTTGCCAGTCTTCTCTATTGCTGACCCTGGTACTGACTCAGCCAGCTGTTCATCCATACCACCAGCAGGCCACTCTACTTCCCTCTCTGGAATCTACTGCTCCCATCCCTCAGGCTGAAGTATTTCTAACAGATTATTGTAGAAGTAACTGCAGATTTTTTATTTTTTATTTGGCTTAGAAACAACAAATTTATTTTGCACAGCTCTGGAACCTAAAAATTCAAGATTAAGGTGCTGGCAAATTCAGTATCTAATGCTAGCCCACTTCCTGATTACTAGATGGTGCTTTCTCATAATGTTCTATTTTTTTTCATTTTTTAAAAAATTGTTTGTTCCAATCCGTTATACATGACAGCAGAATGCTCTTCAATTCATTGTATACACAAATGGAGCATAAATTTTCACCTTTGTGGTTGTACACAAAGTAGGGTCACACTATTTATGCAATCATACATGTACCTAGGGTAATTATGTCTGTCTCATTCCACCATCTTTCCTACCCCCATTCCCACTTCCCTCCTCCCTCCCCTTTGGCCAATCTAAAGTTCTTCCACTCAACCCTCCCCACATTATGGATTAGCATCTACTTATGATTTTGTTAGCATATTTTACTAGATGTGACACCTTCAGTTTCAACACCTACCTAATTGAGAGACTGAAAAGTGAACAAAACAAAAACAGAATCATATCACTAGGGCAGATGAGATACTGCAGTAATTTATAATAAGAAAGCTTATTCCATGATAACTCCTTCTCAATGAGAAGTTGAAAAGTCTTGACATGATTTGTTTAAAGCTTTAAGTTATCATAGTATATTTTATAATAAAAGCTTACAAATGGGGATGTGGAATCAGAAAACACATGTAAAACTGGTAATTCTCTTTTTGCCCTTTTATTACCTGTATTTCATGTCAACAGTACTTACCTAATAAGCATAAATCATGCTAATGATCATCACTAGGATGTTTGTATAAACCTAACATGCATGTTGATGTTACTCTAAACAAAAACACCAGGAAATACCTCCTTAAACAATATCAACACTTACTTTAATTTTCTTTAATTTAGTACATAAAATTTTGCATCTGATTGCCTTCTTTACTGGTTAATGACGCAAATTAATTCATAAGCATAACCCATGACATCTACACATACTTTTAAGTAAATTAACTAAACAATAAATTTAAAACATTAGAGTTGAAAGAACCCCTGGTTCTTATCCCAGTTACTATGGCAAGTATTTATTTTTATTAACAGTTTGTCTGCGTTGGTGGAAGCCCCAACAGGATGAGAGCATTTGCAATGTTTATGCACAAGGAGCTCAGACTGGAGGGAGATGGAGAAGACATTAAAGACATCTGCGCTAGAACAGACAGATATTGCATGTTCAAAACTGGTCCTGTGCTCTTCATCAGCCTAAGTGTGCAGTGGCTGCCTGATACCAGGTCTTCCCAGGCTAGAGAATAATGTAGGAACTTTCTGAATATAGTTCTTTGCCCTCTGCTTTGCAGTATTGCACAATCAGCCAGGTGTCCAGGTATAACATTCTCTTCTGCCTTGGAAAAAGTCCTCAGGGCGGAGCAGAGCATTTAGTATCACTTCATTTTATAATTATATTATTAGTTAATGAAGTTAAGGGAGGAAAAACCCCTCAAAGCACACATTTACCTCCTCTATTTTGTAACTAACTAATACCCTCCCCTCCCCATCGATTTTTTTCTCTTCTATTCCTTTTCCAGGTTTGCAAATGTTGAGTTTTCAGTGCATAGGGGCTAATTTTCAGGGTTGCTAAAGCAGGGCCGTTTCATGCTATAGTAAACTTGCTGAAAAGCTGCTGTTGCATTTCTACCAAGCTCTTGTGATGCTGTCCCCTCATTTAGAATATGTTAACAGATCTGGACAAACACAATGTCCTAAGACAACATCAAAGTGGAATGATTTGAAGTTTTAGGGGATACACAGATCATTTCCCCTAAGTGGCCCATACTTAGGTGGGTGGCTCTACATGGGTACCCAGCCTACTTTTCTCAACTAGTCTATCCCCATAGAGCTGAGTCCATCACTTAAGTGAACATTGAAGTCCTCCTTAGGGGAAAGAAGGCGGTCCAGGGAGTAGGGGGAGAGGCTATGCAGAGGTATGTCAGTTCTAAGGAGCTGAATTGTAAACATGTCTGCACCAGGGGTCAGTCACATCCATTTATCACTCAAAGTACTCGTTGGTGCAGTGTGGGTGATCATGAATGGAAGTCTGGGGTAACAAAGAAAGAAGTATTTAATGCTAAATAGGCAGCCAAGTTGATCTCCCCTTTAGGCAATAGTGCCTGAAACCTGCTTCAGGCTCAAATGGCAGAATCCATTCATTTATTCACTTGTTCATTCAATAGACAATCATAGAATTTCTGCATTCAAAGAAAGCCAAATATCCTTTAATCTTGGCAAATCTCATCTTGTTAATTTTTGCTGGTCTTTTAGATCAAAACTGTTCTTTTCTGGTACAGTAAATGGGGAAGGTTTATTTAAAAATGGCAGTAAAGCTTCAGAATAAAACATGAAAATAGCAAGAGACGAACCCTGCTTGCCTGTCAAAGAAAAAGATCTGAAATATGTATCACACCAAGGTCAGCCAATTAGAAATGAGTCTTACTAGGCAGGAAGGGGATTTTCAATAGGGACCCCTTTGAAAATTCCTCCTTTCCAGTAGCTGCTGAGGAGTGTGTGTGTGTGTGTGTGTGTGTGTGTGTGAGAGAGAGAGAGAGACAGAGAGAGAGAGAGAGAGAGAGAGAGAGAGAGTACAACTTTAAGAGAAACACATAAGTACATTTGTCATTTTATCACCATGTTGCAAAATAAGTGATAATTATAAACTTACCAAGTGCTGGATTTAGAAGGAAACTAATAGATCAAACAACAATTTATCTTCGTAATTTATTTTTGAGGAAGATGATATTTAGACAATTTATTTATTAGTGACAAAACCCCCAATGTGTTAATCTTGAATATTCAAATTGGTACAGGGTTGATTCCTGATCCGTCCTAGGAGGCTTATAAGCATTTTGAAGTTGGGGGCATATTGGGTGGATAACAAAAAATGGTGAACCCAGAGGTTCAAACTTTCCATAGTTTAATATTCTTGATGGTGAGAAGGGAGGAAGTCAGGTGAAAACACTGTAGACCTGGCTTCATTGGTTTTCCAAAGTCTTTGTGCCTCAGAGTAAAATACATAGAGGAATACATTTGACTCTCTGCTGTTATGTTAGGAATAAAGTAGCCATCAAAATACAACTGTTTCAGTTTCTACAAATTACTAAATGGAAAATCTTTCTGGGGAGTTATTAGAGCACAGTATAACCATCAAGAGCCACTAAATCCTCTAGACTGTGTTAACCCTTATTCTAGTGACATTAATTCTACCGCTCTAAATACTGAAGAAAACCAGGGCTTTGGTCATGATCTACAGCAATTTAAGCTCACCCACATGTTCAGAATAAGTTCCAGATTCTTAGATGCGAATCAAATTCACAGCTCTCCCCAGGAACCCTTCAGAACTCAAACAGAATTGTGCCAAGTAAACGAGGCCACATGAGAACCATGAAATGGATTTCCTATTTCACTTACTATGGTGGAGAAGGGCATGAGCCCAAATTATGTTTCTTCTATATTAAGTCAATTGTGCAAAAAGCTCCTTACATAGGCTTATCAGAAAGCACTCAAGGGGGAGACGAGAAATTGCACTACCCTGACACACCTGTACACCACACCATTTCCCACTTCTGCTCTTGACAAGCAGGACTGGGCTCAGTTTAACTGACAACAAGATGCCTCTCTCTGATCCTCACAGATGGACACATCCATCAGCATGTCAGTAGGTGTCAGAGATGACTTACATTTTCTTTAGCATTGGCAAAGTCTTAATGATTATGTAAATTTATCTGAGGGCTGTTAACTTGTAATAAAGGAAGACAATATGTCCTGTTCACGTATCCATTTGTGAGATGTATGACGACTTCCTCTTTTCTCTTAACAGTATGGCATTGGCATTCCCTCCATTTCTATTATGCTTCATGAATTCATCAAATTATTACATCATGCACGGTGCTGTGATGTCATCATTATCAGAATTGGTACATCAGGGGGAATAGGTGAGTTGGATTGATTTTTTTACCATTAAAACTGAGAGACTTTTATGTACATTCTCCCGTTCATTCAAAATACACCCACATACTCAGATCCCAACAGAAATCCAGGTGGGACAAAAAGTGTCAGGAGACTAGACTTGAGGTAACTGAAGGACATTTATTGCATTTTTCTTTTTTTTTTCTCCATGGAAACCTGGAAAGAGAGATCCCATTGTTCACTGCCAAAATGATCTCTGATGTTCATATAGGAAAGAATGGAAGAATAGCTCACAATATGTATTGAGGGTAGAGAGCAAGTTTTGAAACTGGCTCAGAAATTTTCTAAGTGACAGAAATAAGTGTTCCCCATTTAAAAAATTTCAAAGATATGCCTGTTTTATCAGCTAAGTAAGCAGTAGGGAACAATGCATCTGGGATAACATTGTTCCTAAGGTCGCTCATAATTCTTGTGGGACACAAGGATCTGTCTGCATTATACCATCCTGACTATTGCAGTTGCTGCTTGATATTAATGAGTGTCTGTCTTGGACAAGACACTCTGGTGACCATCCAGCTCATAATCATGGTCATTTGTTCCATGGCAACATGACATGTACTGCAGACATTACCAAAATCTCAATGAAGGTTTATGAATGCTGTCAAATTAAACCAGTGCATTGGTGTGAACACCTTCATTTGGGAATTATATCCTCATTAAGCACTCTTAGATTATAAATAAGATCTATTTGTTTGTTTTATTTTAGGCAACATTGCATTTGGAGATGAAATAGATATAGCTTATTCCTTTGCTGACATGGTCACTCCTTAAGTGGGTGAACACACCTTGGTAAAGAAAAAATATTTGGTTAAATAGTATTTTTTACCTTCTAGAGACTTTTACCATGACATAGATATTTTAATGCATCTAAGCATTGAGATGGCATGTGAATAATATCATTTTGGGTGTACACATTTCAATCTCCTTCTCAATTGCTTTCCTATTCTTAGGACATTGTAAACAAATCAAGAAACCACTTGTTTGTCTTATTTAAAAAGGATCTGACCCATGAAAGCTCTATCTCCAGAGGCCACCTTGGGTTTGTAGCTGTGACTGCTACAGTGTTCTATAATTAATTCTACTTTGATTGATGTGGAATTTATACCACCCAGTACCAGGCTATGCTTCATAGTAGGGACTGGAAAATTTTTCCTATAAATGTCTGGGTAATAAATATTTCAGACTTTCCACACAGAGTGGTTTCTATTGCAACTTCTGTGATCCATGCAATAGCTTGAAAACAGTGGTGGCCATTATGTAAATGAATGGGTCTGACCATGTTGCAACAAAACTTTATTTACAAAGACAGGTAGGATTAGGCCTGTAGACTAGAGTTTGCAGACCCTGTGCTCTATAACATCTCTATGGAAGCATTTACTCATGCAATAAATTTCTCCTGAGTACCAATAGTGTGATGAATTCAGTGTGAGACCTGGGGGACAGCAATGAACCGATATTATTCTTGTCTTTATAGACTTTATGTTCTATCAGAGAAACAGATAAACAAGTAGCTGTGAAAATGTGATGAGTGTTAAGACAGAGAGAGTCTAGGGCAGTCTCAAGATGTCTCCTTATTCAGGCTCTAAATAGCAATCAGAATGAATCAAGAGCTGGGTCACATCTGGGCCTGGGAAATTCAATGTAACCTATAGTGTTGCCTCTTAGTTGTTTATATTTATTTATTTTTTTATTTTCCTGCATGGATTCAGACCTGTTGAGGAAGTGACTGAAGCTGCCACCTGAAGGATGAATTGGTGTCAGTGTGGTGAAAAGGTGTCAGGGAGGACATGAGTGCAGGGAGAGCAGTGGCTGGCAGAAACGGTTCCTGCAGTAAGTCCAAGTCCCCTGAACAAGCCAGATTGTAGCAATGGAAGGTCAGCCAAGCGGCCTAATTTACATGGAGTCAGGGAGGAGAGGGAGCGAATGTGATGAGAATCAGAAGGAAAAGAGGAGGGAGATGCCAAGAAATTATAGTAATCAAGGAGTTGCAGAGGAGATTAAATATCAAGTAGTCACATCACTTTATGAAAGCTACTTGCTGGCAGTCTCATTTAGTTTATTCCTGACCTAATTTATTCAAATTTGAGCCTGAAGGCTGGTACTAATTTGCATGTCCAAGAGTCATGTTTGTCTTGAAATCTAAACCCCATCACATTGTAAATGTGAATCTGGAAAGACAGCAAATGGAAATGCCTATTCTGGATGTTACTTAATTGCATTTGGAAAAGAAAATAATTTTAAAGATGAAAACAGGGAGGATCATTAGCCACCAACATTAATTAATGTTGGCAGAATAGCTTACATACTATGTGTCACAAAAGTAAAAGCTAAATGATATTCTTCTGTAATCACTTATTTATTCCCATATTGCAGGGATTGCACAGGGTCTGTTGTCATAACAGATACAGCTGTAGATTCCTTCTTCTACCCCCGGTTTGAGCAGGTCATCTTGGACAATGTTGTCACTCGGAGTACTGAACTTGACAAGGAACTGGCTGAAGAACTGTTCAACTGTAGCAAAGAAATTCCCAACTTCCCAACCCTCTTTGGACATACAGTGTGTACATGATTTTTATGAAGGTGAGAAGAATTTATAAATTGTGAAGGCAACAGGAAAATGTTAGCAACTCTTTGTTATTCAAGTCCATAATTTATATTAAAAATCCCACTTTATAAAATTAATAGCTGTGGATTAAAAAAGGAACGAAAACAGCCTTTTAACTTACCAAAGCATAGCAACATAAGGGCCTAATAAGCAGCAGAGAAACATGCAGAATTAATTTATACTGAGAGTGGGTTTAATCCTCCAAGAACAAATTGAATACTAAAATGCAATTAGTGATGTTCACAGAATCTTATCTCTTATTCATGTCTTTAAGTTAAATTGGTGCCTCTAGGAGAAGGGAGATACACTGCTTCTATGTTTCTGCCATTCACCCGTATCTCAAAAGGGATCTGGTATCTAGGCAAGAGTGGGGACCAAGAAATGGAAAGAAATGTCTGAGGGAACAAATTTTACAGGGATGGGGTGGTCTCAGAGTGGTGCCTTTATCTCTCAGCCATGAGTAAATGGTTCTCTCACCAAGTTTAGAGACAAATTGAAGGTCATTGCTAAGTAGCAGCTCTTGGTCTAAGGGGTGAAGGGTTAGGCAGAAGTCCTTCAAGGACAGACTTTGTTCATTACAGAAGAAGGAATCTATAGGGTTGGTACCATGATGTGGAAAGCATTCAGGAAATCTTGCAGTATAGTTAAATTTGTATCAACATCTTATGATTTCGTTCTGAACTACTTTTCCTTCTGGATTAGAATTCCTACTGAATTTTTAAAAATCATGAATAGACATAGGTTGCATTGTTTATACATTTTTCTTCAGGTTATTAAAGGTGTTTCACTACATATTGGTTATAAATAGGAGTGGTGTTGGATCTGATAAGATTAAGGCCCTCTATCCTAAGCCTCTGGCTCACAAACCCTTCATCTGGAGGGTTATCCAGCAATGTGTTGAAGATAGAGCTTGCAAATTGTGGCCTGTTGGAGTCAATGTTGTTTTTTTTTTTCGGGGGGGGGGGGATGCTATGCAGTATTTTTAAAAGTATGAATTATTTTTCCAACATTTCTTCTTTCTAGAGATTTTATTTGAGAATCCAGATGTTTAGCTTTTTGAAATAACATAAGGTGGAGCTGGGGTTGTGGCTCAGCAGTAGAGTACTCACCTGGAATGTACAAGGCACTGGTTTCAATCTTTAGCACCACATAAAAATAAATAAATAAAATAAAGGTATTGTGTCCAACTACAACTAAGAAAAAAATTTTAAAAAGAAATAATATAAGGTAATATAAAATATAGAAAATAATATATGCATGGCAGCCCAAGCAAGCCCTGGCCCACATCTGGGGCCACATGGACTGGTGGCACTTCTGCTTTTGGACTAGGCAAACCGTCTCATTGACATTACCTGCCTGGCTTTTGTGGTGGGTGAGTCTGAATCAGCTTAAATAATGCTGTTAGAAGTGTTGTCAGCAGTGCTAAAGAGAAGAGAACAGGGAGAAGCAGACTTCCAGAGTGAAAGTGACATGAAAGAGAGAGAAGAGAGGCGGTAAAGAAAGCAAAGGGAGCCCAAAAGAAGACTGTGCTGATGACAGATGATGACAAAATATTATTAAGCTAGACCTCCTGAGGAGTGTGGAGGGGAGAAGAGCTCTGTTATGAGGGTGTATCTACTTCCTTCTGTTCCCACTAGTTGACCCCAGTGAAACAAAGTGATCCATGAACACTGAGAGCAATCTGGAGCAGAAAAAGTGAGTGTAGAGGGGTGTCATGCAACCCAAGGGGAGTGTGAAGGGAGGAAAGTGGACCCCTAATTGCCTGCATATGGCTGCTGCTGTCTCAATGGCCATATGGAGTGCTGCAGTATCCAAATCCCATCCAGGTCCTTAGGAGTCTCACTGAGGCATGAAGCCTCTTCTCTCCCAGCTCTTCTACCTGGCCATCTCCCCATCACTGGGGCAGCCTGAGACTTCTCTGGAAGGGTAGCTCTCTCAGCAAGACCCCAGTTCCTGAAGTCTCTAGGCCCGATGCTGGGTGCTAGGTCACTCAGTGGTTACTGGCCCCAGAACAGGGCATAGCTAGAGATGCTGTGCTCTTCATATGAGACTCTTGAGTCAGACACAGCCTTGCTCCATGGTGTCTTCTGCTGTAAAGACTCAGCAGCCAGGTTTATCCCACCTGGGGAGCAGGCTCAAGGGGTGGAGATACCTGAAAATGCTGTGGCCAACACCAAACCTCTGGGCCATATTACTTCTCTGCTGGGCTATCAGGTCACTGAATGTTCTCTATTCTCTTTCAGGCCAAGGTCGACTAGATGGAGCATTGTGTTCCTTTTCTAAAGAAAAGAAGTTAGATTACTTGAAAAAGCATACAAAACTGGTGTGAGGAACATTGAAATGGAATCTACAGTGTTTGCAGCCATGTGTGGTCTGTGTGCTCTAAAAGGTAAACTTTTCATTAATACTGAGGGTCCCAATCTTTTTTACTAAAGCTATTCTCATTCTTCTTCAGAAGAAACAGGGATCAGCCATATATTATTTTGGGTTGAAAGCATGCCCTATAATTGTTTATAACTTAAATTGGAATATTTTGTGAGTGCACAGGACATTAATCTGATTATGCATCTAAGGAAACAACCTCAAGGGTCAAAAAAAACAAGTTGCCCCAAGGCATCAGCTCATTGGTGATAAAGCAGAAGTTTTGACAGTAATTTTTTTTTTTAATCTTGGAGGTGGATGCTGTTTCCTATTACAATTGAATCTATTGAGACAGGATGCAAATAAGGTATTCCTAAAATAATCCATCCATCATAATTTTAATTAGCATAGTCAGGGAAGAGTAGGAGAAGGTGACACTTTAGAAAATGTCACGTGGACCTCACATGGGAAGCACATTCTGGTAAATTTAAATCTAAGATCATAAGGAGCAGGCAGAGCATGCTGGAGGAACAAATTGGAGACCAGAGGGCCTGGAGGAGTGAGATCATGGAGAGTGAGTGGTAGTGTTCACTACGAGTGAAAGTGGAAGCCACTGGAGGGCTTTGAATAGAGGAGTGACCAGATCTGATCTGTTTTAGAAGGGTCATCCTGGCTGCTGAGATAAAGACATACCAGGACCCAGCACAGAGCAGGGGCAGGAATGAGAAGACTGATGCTACAGGCTAGTGAGAGGTGACAGGTCAGGATGAAAGCTTTAGAGCAGGGAAGATGCAGTTAGGTTTTGAAAACATTTTGAAGATAAATCCAATAAGACTTGTTGATAATTTGATGCAAATTTTGGGAGAAAGGCAAGAATCAAGAATGTCCCCTAGGTTTATGACCTAAACACTAGGGTATAAACTATGGACAAAGTTACTATAATTGGGAAAGAAAATTGAGGTGAAGATGTGGGAGTAGTGACATCTAAATGGAGGCCAAGTAAGCAAGGGTACCTGTGAATCTAATGTTCAGGTGAGGGGTTTGACTGGAGTAATACAAGTACAAGTTGACAGACAGCATATAAGTGGCACTTCAAGCCATGCAACGGATGAGATGACAAGGAGAATGACTGCAGACACAGCTGAGAGGGGGAGTCTCTATTAGAACATTAGAAATTAGCTGGGGAGTGGCCATAATGTTGGCAGTACATTGAAAGCACATGAAAGAGAATACAACAAGAAAAAGAAAATGGAGGCTGACCTCAATGGACCAGTGATGCTTTATTAAGCAATAGAGAGGCATATCTTCAAGGGGAAAATGGTGACAGGCTCCAACAAGAGTCTGTGTTTTATAGGATTTAGCAGGGCCATTCATGGGAGGAGTTTTGGTGGTGGGTTCATTTAGGGTGGGGCAGGAGGGCAGGTAGAGGAACAGTTGTGGACAAAGGAAATTTGCTGGGGGCTATTATCTATATCTTTTATTCCAGACTCTGATAGGGGTATAATGAGTAGGAGTGACATTATCATACATGGCTACTTCCTGCTGAGAAGGGGCAGAGTAGGAGATCCTCTTGTCAGAGATCTGGAAGAGGATAAGGAGGTTGGAGGTATGTTAGGCTCTTATACAGTCCTGGTGGTTGTGGCTTAAGGAGAGTGTAGAGGGAGGGAACTTTGACATTGTTTTGGGTGATTCCTTCATTATGGGGCTCAGGAGAATCACATTGTGAGTGAAGAAGGAGAATGGTTTCTGCATAGTCTGGGCTAGACAGGACACCTTATCAAGAAGTTGCTTCTGTGTTAAGTTAACAAAGCAAGGAAAAAGTTATTATAAGAAAAATGAGTGTTAACAGGTTTAAAAAGAGAGAGAAGCCAGGATGTTGTTCACTGTTTTAGGCATTGGCTTCTTCTCATCTCTGTTGTTCATACTGATCCTGGAGTTGCTTAACCTTATTTCTTACCAGTTCTGATGGTTGACATGGAAGCAACATTCTTCCTCAAGGAAGAGGCAGAGGATACCTCATTTAGCAGTAATGAGATCTAGACCCCAATGATGATTCTGCATGACCACAGATGCCAGGGAATCCAATTGATTTTGTAGAGTCGTACCAAATCAGCAACCTGTTGAATGTCTTCAATAACCTGTACTGAGAGTTTTTTATAGTAGTAAATAGAGGTTCTTAATCCTGCTGCTCCTGTGCCAATCCTGGCAGATATCTGTAGCCCTTTGAGTAAGGGAATAAACTGAAAGGCTCTCCTGTGTCTGGTATGCACTGTTATCAAGATAGGCAAACTTTGGTTGTTAGGTAAAACATCAATTTGAGGAGTAAGGAAGACCAACATGCAGAGGCCAGTCTGAATTTTGGTAGGCAGGGGTAAATATGAGCCTCATAAAGAAACTCCTCAGTATTTGAATGGCACCAGGGCTGTGGGGCTGACACAAATGTATGTCTTAAGTTCTACTACAAAAGACCATTATCTTTTCTTTTAAATGCCCAGATATGGCTATACTTTGGTTATAACTATTTTTGCTAGGTGTTTAAGACCAAGCTGATCAAATTGACCTTGTTGCTATCTCTTGTTAAGAGTCAGCTGAGTTCCCTCGGGGGGGTCACTCTTGGGAACTTGTGAGTAGCCCCTTAGCAACTTTAGTACCATCTGTCAGGTTGCATCAGAGTTTCCTTGACCATGTGGCTTCCCTTGGAAGCATTAGCAAGATCTACCTTTTCCAATGACCCTCCTGTCTGCAGTATGTGCACTGGTTCGCTTTCTGTTCTCCAGAGTCTCATGGATCCCCTGATCAGGAGGTCACGTGGCTCAGAATTGAAGAACTCTGAGAAGTTCTTAGAGAAGTTCCCTTGTACTCTAGGTTCAAGCTGACCCAGAGGGCAAGAGCCAAATATTGGTTATTTTTTTTTTCTTTCTTGGTCTTTTTACTTTCTTAACTTTAATCTCCAAGACTTATTCTTAAACAACCATCAAGCCAGTTTCAGCAGTCTTAAAGTAAGAGTACTGGGTTTTAATTTTAATATCTATAACTTTACAGTCATTCAACCCTTTTATTTAATTGGGGTCAGTATTAGTACTGGAAGTTAGTCTTTCATCCTGTTTATCTATAGATGATGGCCTGCTATCTCAGATTAACTAAGGTTGTTATATTGAAAGTTGTATTTCTATAAGGCACTAATGGACAACAGTTAAAAGTTTACAAGGAAAATACAAAACGAAATTAACAAGAGTAAAAACACTGAGTTTGTATAATAGCTATGAGCTAAGAAACATAACTTTTATAATCCCAAACCTTTACTTTAAACCTTAGTTTGAAGAAAAGCAGCTCGGTAAAATGCTCGTCTAAATCTTATACTTTATATACTTATGTACTTGGAATATATGAATACATTTAATATACAGAGGACAGTAATAGCAGCATAATTACACTGATGTTTTTATATTGACCAAGTTTAGCTTTTAGAGAAATATCCAGAATCTGTAATGTAATATAATACTGTAAAATAACAGTTGTTGTTTAGCCAGAGTTTTACAAACCCTAATTCCTTTAAGGCCAGTTGCTTTAAAGAATAAAACTTAACAAACATAAGCAATTATCTTGATAGATAATAGCAGATTAATGTTTTTGTTACTTTAAACCATAGAGGATCAAACTTTGGTTTATATCAGTACATTAATAATTGACCTTAGGAAAAAATCTTAAATGACTTTGTGTTAATTATATATATCTAACATAGTTACACAAACTTTTTGAAATTCACCCTCCACAAACCTTCTGCAACTTATTTAGACATTTTACAACTTTTTACTTTACCACACAAAGACTTTCTTATGTAGAAACATTAATTTTTCCTTCTACTTTCTATATTAAAATTTATTTCCATGCCTAGACCATTCTTGTATCTATTTCCTAGCTTGTTTACCCTTTTCTTAATTCACACTCTGAAACAACCCTTATGAAATTTCTAAGTTTAGTCAAATTATTCCACTTTAATAAGATGAAATACTTTGTTTTTATGGTACTTTAATTGAAGCCCAACTGACTGAATCTTAACTCTTAGTAACCTTGTTTTCAGTGAAGAAGACAAAGCAATCTTAAACATTTTTCTATTTATGAAAACATACATAAAGTTTCAGTATATCACCTTAAAGAATTTAAGAAGAGCACTTGATTTGATATTTAGCAGTTAGCACTTTAACTTCATAAAGACTTGCATTAGTGATTTTAAAGACATATTTATTTTTATCTGTTTACCTATTTTTTTAAAGAGAGAGAGAGAAGAGAGAGAGAGAGAGAGAGAGAGAGAGAGAGAGAGAGAGAATTATTTATTTTTCAGTGGACACAACAGCTTTATTTTATTTTATGTGGTGCTGAGGATCTAACCCAGCGCCCTGCGCATGCCAGGTGAGCATGTTACCACTTGAGCCACATCCCCAGCCCTGTTTACCTAATTTAAATTGAACTTTTTAAGTCATATGAACTCAAAGATATTTGGATCCATTTCTCATTTAAATTATAATTTCTGAGTGCTCATTTTTCTATAGCAATTTTGATACCATGTACATGATATGTAGACACAAGCATATATGTAGACAAAACAACACAACACACAAGTGTGCATATACAGACAAAATAGACAGGAGACAGAGATCTTGTAGCTGTTTGTTGTAAGATGAAATTTTCCCAATGTTACTTGAGAGATGACCCTTGAAAATTGTCCTCTAAGCAAAATCCTCTATAGTTAGATAAAATAAGACTGATCAGAAAATATATATTAATTTAGGCATACAGGTTCAAATGTGAATTCACCATAAAATCATGAGCTCAAAAATATACAATTAAAAAAACAAGAGATTTGAGAGAGAGAGAGAGAGAGAGAGAGAGAGAGAGAGAGAGAGAGAGAGAGCTGCTATAAGATCAGGATTCAGTTTTTGTCTCAGATTAGAGTTGGTTTAGATATTAGAAAGATGAGAGAGCCCTGAAATCCTTAGGTAAAGAGTCTCAAGGTAAAGAAGACTTGAC